TATATATATATATATATATATGTATTCATTAATTCATTCATTCAACTTTGTTTAGACAAGTTTATCCCACTGAGCCTCAAGAACTCATTTACAAGAGAGACCTGATTTCTTACCAAAGAGTGATGACAACAATGAACAACAACGACAACAAAAGACAGTTATAAAATAGGCATACAAATTTAAGTTTCTTTTTTTTTTTTTTTTTTTAACAAATCGAAACAAAATAGCAACCAAAAGGACAATCAAGAGGAATAGCAGCAAAAAACAGAAATATATACACACACAGTAGTCCTTCACTACTTTGCAGTTCAACTTTTGCGGACTCGCTTTTTCGCAGTTTTTTAAAATAAGATTGGACATGACACACAATTGGCTGATTGATAGATGAGCCGCAAGATTGACATGGATTTTTTAAATTCAAAATAAATTATTTTAAATTATTTAACACCAGCTGCACCTGTGTGCAGCCCACGTGTGCAGGGAGAAGTTCCCTCCTGCAGCCTGTCGATCTCCGGGAGAAGTGGGCGTGGCAGAGAGAGAGCACAGACCATGACATTTTGTGCTCCTTTAGAGCGTTTAGAGTTTAGAAACATTGTTTAGAATATTGCAAGAGTGTGGGAATGGTTTAAAATGCCTTTTATATATACTATTTGTACGACTATTCCCACTTCACAGTTTTCACTTATCGTGGGTGGACTGAGAACGGAACCCCTCGCGATAAACGAGGAACTACTGTATATGGAAACCTGCCACCCTACTTTTTCTTTTTTTTAGAAAAATGTTTTCTAGTTTTTATATTCCTTAAAAGTATAATTTCCTCAAATGATTGGGGTGCCCGGTGGAGTGGACAAAGTTTAATCTAAGGTGGCCAAGGCCACCATTGGCCACCCCCTGTCTCCTCCATTGCACCTGGCAGTGGATCAAATTGCTCCCTCCACTCTGTGGAACCAACCTCTGTTCTTCTACACAGTGCAACTCCTACCAGCTTGAATGTGTTGCACTAAAAACATTGTTTACTTGCATTGCCTGTTCAATTCCAGTCCAGAAAAACATTTACTTAAAAAACTACAAACATTCACTACTGAAATTCATTCTGCTTCAATTTTTTACATTTTTTCCCACAACATCACTGAGTTAAAGCTTTCTTTCTCTGTCACCTGAAATATACAAATAATATCCTTCAGGTGACTGAACAAAATAATTTACACAAATAAAACTCAAATGAAAAAGATTTATAAGATGTTTGTTCTATAATCTGTTTTACACACTTAAAAAAAAATAAAAAGGCACCATTTTACAAAAAGGTGAATTATTTTCTACAAAAACCTGTCATGAAAAAAAAATCCCAACTGTGTTTAAAATAATGTTTGTGAAGGAACGCCTACCACTCTGTGATCTACCAGCCTTCCTGCTGTGAGCGTCATTAGCTTGACATTTTATTAGCGCTGTCGCTCCGTGTGTTTATGTAGGAGGACAGATGCTGCTGCGCTACCTGCAGCTCTAAAATATATATATATATTTGACCATTTTAGTGAAACAAATGCAGAATCGTTACAAAGCTGACACTTTAAAACTGATTTAAACATCTTTCAATTGCATTAATTTCAGTTGGCACATCTAACTGTAACAGCAATCCCAGTTATTTTCTTACCTTTAAATACAGACGACTCTAGCTTGAAGTTTTCCACCAGGCTGCAAACAGTTCCAAATCCAACACCGCAGATCAAAACTTAAAGCACTAAATGATTAAATAAAACATGTTCTGTGCAGATCCTTGTTCCTTTGTCAGCTTTGGCCCCCACAGTAAGCTGAATTTATATTCTCATAAGAGGCAGCTGGTACTTAAATGGAAGCCTTCATCCGATATGAATAGCAGACGTGTTTGTAAAAAATGGTTTGGTTTCAGTAGCCTCTTACGCTCCTTGCGCTTCTTCAACTTTATTTTAAACACCTTACATATTTTACATACTCTAATGTATTATCTATAATATTTAGTGTCAGGAATCCCCGTGGACTATGTTGTTTGCAGATGATGCTGTGATCTGTGGTGAGAACAGGGAACAGATGGAAGAGAACTTGGAGAGGTGGAGGTATGCACCACTGTGGAGACCCCTGAAGAGGGAACAGCTGAAAGAAGAAGCAGAAGACAGGCATTAATACTCAATGAAAAAATGATGTGGCTAGCGCAGTTTAGCTTAGCTGTGATGCATTCACTCACCCAAATGAAGCAGATTTTTTTAGTTTTTGTAGTCCATCTAAAAATCATCTGATTCCAATCACCAGATGATTGGTCGATACAGTAGTCCCTCACTTATCGTGGAGGTTACGTTATATTCCAGACACCCACGCAATAGGTGAAAATCTGTGAATTAGGGACTTTATATTTATTTTAGTATTTATAAATATTTTAAGGCTTTATAAACCCTTCCTACACTCTTGCAATGTTCTTAACGATGTGTTAAACTCCCAAATGGCTCAAGGAGCACAGCGAAAGAGAGCAGACAGACTGATGCTACGGTTACTGAGCCAATCAGCGCCCAGGGGCGGACTGGCCATCGAGAGCACCGGGACATTCCCGGCTCGTTTCGGGTTAAGGCTCAGTTCAGGATGCACTTAATTATTTTAAATAAACAATCCATGCCACTCACTCTGGTATCCACCTCTCTGAAGCTCCCACAGCAGTGATGAGAAAAGACAGATCCCACCCCTGCCCCCTCCTTTCTCTTTCTGAGGCTGACAGCCTCAGAAAGAGAAAGAAGGGGGCCCCGTGGCGATCACTGAGCGGCCAGGCCACTGTGAAACAATGTGTACAATTTTATGTTTAAAACCCACGAAAATTGAAGCGCCAAGTATGAAGGGCTACTGTACATCCCTATATTTTAAATTATTTATTGTTGTCCCACCTACTTACAACATGTGTGTTTGCTTCTAGACTGGACCTGGTACCCATCAATCGCTCTGTGGGGCTGAAAGCCAAACCTACCAAACCAGTCACCGAGGTCCTCCGGCCCGTGGTGGCCAAATACGGCCTCAGTCTGAGTGATCTCGTGGCCAAAATAGTAAGTTGTCCCCTCAGTGGCTACAAGGCTTTAAGGTCTTTCAAGCTCCTGAGCAGCATGAGACTAAGCCAGAGGGTGGAGTATCATGGTCAGGGGAGGGAGACAACCGCATCCTTTTCCATTTCTACCCGGTGGTTATAGCTCTGACTCAGCCTTGTGAAGATGGAGCAGCGGGGCTATAATTAAGAATGACGACACTCCTCAAACACGCCGGCTCTGTTCCCCTCCCCATAACCCCTGTCAGGTTTATTTTAGTTCTGTGGGCTTTCAGGCATTACAACTGCATCATACAGTAGACCAGAGCTTATTAATGCACACAGCTCTCATATCAGCCGTATGCTAATGTGCTTTAGATGACAGTATATTTAGATTCCTTCTCAACAGGTGAAGATACTAACAGAGTGTGTTTGGTTTCAGAGCGGAGAGACTGAGCCTTTGGATTTGGGCGCTCCGATTTCGAATCTGGACGGCCTGCGAGTCGTGTTGGAGCGAGCTGATCCCTGTTCAGTGAAAGGTAATGCCCAACGCCAAACGCACCTTAAGTTACTGATCATAAATATCTAAAAAATAAAGCAGGAATCCAGCTCTACAAGTGAAATGAGTTCAAAATCTAAACAATCACGAGAAAAAGAAAGTGCACACTCTTTCAGTGCTCGAGTTCGTTTACGTTTCAGGACATCATGAAAATACGATCTGGTCTTTACCGGATTTCTAAAATGATTAAAATCTAACCTGAAATGAGCAAAAACAACAGATTCCACTGAGTCATTATTAATTAAACAAATGAAAACGTGTTTATGAAAAAAACATCTCTAATGTGGTCTCATGTAGTTCCAGACGTCTTGAGCTTCATTCAGATGAAACTTTACAAACCAACGTCATTTTGTCGTGTTCTTTTTAGACAGAAGTTTTTCTGCTGTAACTCCAAATCACTCAAACGTGTTCAGTCTTTATCAAACTGACCTCTCATGAACTTTAACCTTTCACCTGCTGACTGAGACCTGTATAGTCTGAAACATAACTCTTGGGTTTTTAGCAGTTTTCCTGAGCATTGCACGGTCTGACCTGGGGGTGAATTTTCTGGGACTTTCACTACCTGGAAGAAGCAGCCATCTTTAACGTTTTCCACTTGTTGATGATCTTTATCTCTGTAGAACAATGAACTTTAAATAGTTTGGAAATTACCTTTGACCCTTCATAGATTGACTGACAGCAACAGTTGCTTCTCTCAGGTCATTGCTGATGTATTTTCACCTTGGCACTGTGTTAACACACACCGGTCTGCTCCTGAGTAGCAACAGGTGATCACACTGATGATGATCAGTTAGTTCATCAATACATCTGATCAGCAGCTGAAGATGAACCTCTTAAATCCCGTTGAAGCAGCTCAGGAGGACTCAGAGTTTCACACATAACTTTTCTATTTTGACGTTCCTCTACACTTGAAGTCAGATTGGAATAATTTCAGAACCTGATAAAGACCAGATCATTTCTTTACGTCCTGACCCCTAAAACCCCAGAACTGGTAGATGATGTTTGTGTTTTACTGATTTAGTGGTTTATTTGTGAAAGCAGGTGCCAGGACAACAGTCTAAAATAAACTGCCCCGGCCACAGGATAATAAAGTCTGTTATCACTGTAGCTTCTTGTTCTATGACGATAAATCAGTCTCAAAAGTATTCACACAAGCGCACACTTAGATTTGTATGCATACAGTAATCCACACACGAGCGTAACATTTCTAACTTGGCACAATATCTCATAAGTCCTATATTAAAACACGTATGCTTAATATACATATATATATATATATATATATATATATATATGTATATATATATATATATACATATATATGTATATACATATGTATATATTTTACTTGGAAAAATTTTTCAAGTAGTTTTTCCACAAGAAGAATAACGTAACTACTTTTGATGTTTATTTCACCTGTACAGTCCATAAAGTTAACCTTTTCTTCTTGTGGAAAAACTACTGTAAAATATATTTTCCGGTAGTTTTAGCAGAAGAATAAAACATTGGACAATATATTGTTCTTATTGTTTTACAAGCAGGTGAATAACCTAACCATGTTTGATGTTTATTTCAGCTGTACTGTCAACAAAATGAACGTTTTCTTCTTGAGGAAAAACTACCGGAAAAATATATATTCTAGTAGTTTTAGCAGAGGAAAACGATACCAGAAGATATATTTTAAGTTTATGAGCATGTGCATTTTAATAATAATAATAATAATAATAATAATAATGATAATGTCATCACAATGTCAGCACTGTATGTTTCCATACAATGGCGAAATTAGTCTCTGCATTTAACCCATCCACCACCAGGTGGTGCAGTGGGCAGCTATTGAAAGCGCCCGGGGGACATTTTGGGGATTAGACGTGCTGCCCAGAGACGCCACGTGATGTGCAGTGACTGGGGATCGATTTTAGGGGTTTATGAGATATTGTGCCAAGTTTTGCCAATAAATCAATAAATTCAATAAGGCTAAGATGTCCCAGCTTTTCAGCAGCCTTGAACGCAGCAATACCTTTATGACTGGAGTGGAGAGAAACAGTCTCAAAAGTCACATTCAAGTTGATCCGGTCTCACGTGTTGACCGATTCGTCCACATCAGGCAATTTGTGCATGTGTTTTTCCAACTTGTGCAAATTGTAATGTATACATTTGAAAAGCTTTATGCATTTGTAACGCTTGTGTATCTTATGAACAAATCTCATTGTATCTTATAAACAGCTAGCTTCCAGAAATTTCTCTGAAAGTGACATTATTCTGCTCACCTCAGTGTTTAAACAGAGTCAAGTTTTTCAGAAGAGCTCTCTTATGTCTCAAGTGTCCCCTTGTCTTCTCTCAGACGCCCTGTCCTCTGATAAGTCTCTCAAATGGATGAATTTTAATGCGTCCTCATTCTTTCTCTCTGTGTTTCAACCAGAAAAATCCAAGTCTTCCTCCCTCAAGAACCACCCACCCAGCAGGAGTTATTCCGCAGCAGTGAGTACTCCAACCGCCCTTCGTTTCCTTTACGCGTCGCCAACAAGTCCAGAGATGATGCTTTGTCCCTTTTCTGTCTCTACTGCTTCTGCAACATCCGTTAATCTGTTACATATGGTGGCCCTGAGGTTTAAACGAACAACATTTAAAAAAAAAATGGAATGACATCAAACCAAACCAGAAGTGGTGAACTTTATTTATAGAACACAAGAACAAATGATAATGTCAAATTACTAAATAATACATATAAATGTGAATAATCCTCTGTCTTACCTCCTAAGATCAACATTTGCACAATGTGACATATTATACAGAACAAATTTAAATTTAAGAAACATTAGTTGGAACAGAGAAGTAGCAAAACATACGGAGAAAAAAAGATATTTAACAAAAATTTGTAATTCTGTTTTTTCACCACTTCCAGTTTGGCTTAATCTAATTCCGTTTTTTCAAATGTTATTCGTTTAAACCTCAGGGCCACCGTAGATCCCCCGAAATGATCTTTATTAACATTCGCCGGATGTTAATGTGTCAAGCCTGCTTTTTTCCTTCTATTTTCCGCTCCAGCTCTGCCTTTGGCCGACTCACAGGCTGTTGTTTTCCTGCTCTAAGCGTCGTGTCGTAACGGGAAAACGAACATGTAGTTGAAATTTTAGCACCATCAGTTATGAAGGTCTCTGTAAATCTGGACACAGTAGGGTGCTTAGCATGCGACCCCCCCCCCCCTCCATCCCTCCATCCCCTAACAGAGAGCATTGTTATTGTTGCGTCTGCAGGGAGATGAGAGGTCAACACCAAAGGACTTGTCTGTGAGAGCAAGTGGACCAGACTCAGGACCCCCGGGGGAAAAGAGAAAACAGAAAAAGATAAATATAGATGAAGCTGAAGGTAAACCCCCTCTTGTTTTTATTTGGTGTCACTTTTGGGAGATTCTGTGCTCTGCTTTGCTTCGGGGACTAACTGATGACTTCAGGGAGGGGGGCGGCTGTGCTGCATGTCCTCTAATGTTTCTGGGGTTTTTGGTTCGTTTAGAAAAAGAGAAAAACTCGTCTGACTTGTTTTGTTTTTCTAGAATTCTTTGAGCTGCTGAGTCGGGCTCAGAGCTCCCGGGCCAACGACCAGCGAGGACTCCTGAGCAAAGAAGACCTGGTGCTTCCCGACTTCCTGCGCCTGACTCCGCCCACTTCCTCCTGCTCCGTTTCCTCTGACCTGGCCTGCTCCACCCCGGCTTCGGCGAAACAGAGCCGGGAGAAAGGCGGCCCCCCACGGGGGTCCCTCACGTCTGGCGTACGGTCCGAGAGCCTGGACTCGTCCCTCAGCTGCAGCGCCAATGGACACTCCGCAGCCAGGCGCTGCCTGCTGCCCCCTCCCCCCCGCCACGCCACCTTTGGCACCCACCTCTCCCCCATCCAGCGGCCCTCGGACACCCGGCCCAGTCTCCGCACGGTGGAGGAGGACGCCCCCGCCGACCTGACGCTCGTGGCCGAGGGCGACATCAGCAGCCCCAACAGCACTCTCCTCCCACCGTTACCACCCCCCCCGGCGTCCTTCAACAGCAGCCTCCCAGAGGCCAACTTCACTCCTCCACCCCCCTGCTCCCAGCACACAGGTGGAGAGGGAAAGTCCAGTTCAGGTATTTCTACAAACCAGTAACAAAGTAGTGTCCAGTGTGCGTGTGTGTGTGTGTGTGTGCGTGTGTGTGTGTGTTTACTCTGTGGTTAAATATGAACTTCATTTACTGACTGATGCACTTTATGACAAATTGATGTCTAATTTTCTGAATTTGCTTAACTTGTTGAATTCAACTTAGATGTAACGAGATTGATTGATTGATTGATTGATTGATTGATTACGCTCAGATCGACCTGTAAATAGTGATGTTGATACTTTGTTCAGTGATGTTTACCAGGAAGTCCAGTGCTGCAAATAGACAAGTATTTTTTTGTTCTCTCCAGTTTGTTTGTTTGTTTGTTTTTGTACCTTTGGCTGCACGATAAAGTGACCGGCTGGTGATTATTAAAATAAATTTAAAAAACGTGGATTTATGATCAGTGTTTGACAGCCATGTACTAAAGATTCAGAACTAAAAGTGACGTGTTGTCGACACGGTGGTGCAAAGACTGAAGAGATTTCACAAAACGAACTGTTCTTCTGCTACTTCCGGTTAAAGGGATAGTCTGGTGATTTATGAGGTGATGAAGTGTGACGTCAGCACAGAGTATAAAGAAGTGGACACAAGTCTTCCTGCAGGCTAGGCTAATCGGCTAGCTAAACCGATTTCAAGCTTAAAAACCACTCTTTCACAAAAAATGTCAAAGTGGTGTGAAAGAACGATACATTATTAATAAAAACCCTCTACCCTGACACATCCAGATCGATGGTCTCGTGGTAACACAGGCGACATTCGCTTGCAAACACAAACTAACGCCCAAGTGTAGAGTGGTGGGTCGTAAAAGGGCGGACCACGGGGCACATCTGGACTCGGACTGGTTGCTAGGTTAGAATAAAAGGATTTTTTTAAATTTAATTTAATATTTACTGTAAATTATTTTTAGAGGTTTTTTTTTTAGAGATGCCGCTTTTCTAGAGAATACTGGCCTGCTTTCGATCAATAAAATACAAAAAAATTTAAAAAAAAAAGCCCTACAGGTTTTTATCCAGACTGGACAATTTTCTTTAAGTCCACTCTTCTTGTGGGGAGTTCAAAACCTGTTTGTCCCGCATGTTCAGAGGCGGTGATGCTTATCTGTAGAGAAAAATATGAATATATCTTGTTTTAATGTTTGTTTATCACAACAAGGTGGAATAAACCACCACTATCATACATACCAGATAAAACCAGATCCTGAGAGCACCCAAAGCCAGTCTGACAGACCCACCAGAGTCCTGTTAGTCCTCCACCTTTGTAGTCGAGCTAAAAAAACATTAAAAAAAAGTTTTAGTTTGTTCTAAGCTGAACTTGAGTTGCTACTCCTGGCAGCTGAATATATCTGCTGTCCTCAAGGGCCAATGGTACCAAACACTGGTCCTTGAGGAACACCACGTTGCATGTTTTCGTTGTTTCCCTGCTTCAACACATCTGATTTAAATGAATGGGTGATTAACAGGCTTCTGCAAAACATGAAGTAATTAAATCACTGAATCAGGTGTGCTGGAGCAAGAAAACAACTAAAACATGCAGGATGGTGTTCCTCAAGGGTCTGTGTTGGGAACCACTGTTTTATAGCTTTCTCTGCTTCAACACACCCTCTTTTTAATATTTCAGCCGTTCCCTGTTCAGGGGTCGCCACCTGACTGAAATAAATGAGTGATTCAAAGAATTTTACATAACTTGAAGACCTGTTGAAGAGCAGGGACATGGCTAAAACATGCAGGACAGTGTCCCTTGAGGATCTGGACAGAGTAGAAGCTTCATATGAGCTGGTGCAGTGTAACTATTGAGAACATCACTTCAAAAATCACCAGCCTTGAAGAAAATAACTTCACCAGTGTCGTCTTCAGTGTCTGAAACCTTTTTCTTTCACAACTCGGGTAAAGCGTGGAGTTGTTATCTGTTTTCGGTTCAAGCTGTAGCAATGGGAGCGATTGTGAAACCTGTTTAGTCATCAGAGGATGTGCTCCGGGGCGTCAGCGACATCGCTCTTCATCTGCCTCGTTCACTTCCTGTTGTGGATGATCACTGCCAATAAACACAACAAACCTCTGTACCTGTGATTGATCAGACCCAATAAATGTTAGAAATGGAAATCACTCTCGTCTGTCTTTTTACACGTTCGTGATTTCAGTTTTCTCTCCCTCCTTCTCATCCCCACATGCCTTTTCCAGTCCTCCATCCAGCTCTCCCTCATTTTGTCTCGTGGCGTTCTCTCATCAGCTCCCACTCCTTTCGTGCGCCTTCCGGCGTGCGCTCGGTGTCGGCGGCGGCGCACGCCGTGTGTTTCCTGCTCAGATCAGTTCGCTCCCTGCTCGGCTTGCTTGTATCGTCTTCCCTCGATTTGTGTGTGCTTTAACGAGATCGCTGTTCTGTTGTGTGCAGCTTTGTTTTCTCATCGCTGACAGGTCGGGTCTGTCTTTTGTCAAACGTTTTGTTTGCGGAGCACAAGCGAGGGTTTTTCATTCCTTTCTTCCTGCCTCTCCGTGTTGGTTTCAGTTGAGCGGCGAAGCCATGAGTTGATTTTCGTGGTGAAGGTTTCCTTTCTTGCTACTGTGAGTCTTGTCTCTTTGCTAACATCCATGAGCAACACGTTTTAGTTTGATGTTGGAGAGATCAGATGTTTTTAAACAAGGTTTGCTTATGAGCAGTTAGTGTCTTACCTGTTGAAGATGACTCTTTGAGCGACCTTGATTTTCACAAAAAAAAGTGCAATTCAGAACGGATTCACGAACCAACTGTTAGTAAGAGCTCGATAACACCGAACGGGGTTACTGCCTTCTTAAAACTCACATACAAATCACTCCCTCACCTCCTTCGTGAAGGTCGTTAGCTCCTTTGCTAGCACTTCAATTTGCACTTTTGTTCACGTGACCAAAAAATCTTCAATGTGGAACAGGCCAACAAGTATCCTTTACAGTCTGAACTGGTAAAGCTGCTCGGATGAGACACGCAACATCTCCAGAAAACAAGTGAAAAAAAGTCAACTTTTTAAAAAGCAGCAGCAGCCAGCAGTAGCACCTCTGGCAGAGCTGCGGTCTCTTCAGACCAAAATAATATAAGAATCCTGCCAGAATAACCGCATCATGTGAAACCGAGAGTGACAGAAAGGTTTAAACCACTAAAAACACGTGGCCCACCACATCATATCAGGGACTAATTCAGATTTATTCAAACGAAGCTACGCAAAATTTTAAGATTCCTGATTTTTTCGGCTACACTGCGAGACCTAAATCATCCTGAGCAGTTCCAGAGATACAGCTCCATTTGACTTATAATCAGGATAACCCATGAAAATCAGTCAGAATCCTAACTTTTAGTGTATTCTAATGTAGATTTCTTGACGCCATTTTAAAGAGGTTAAAACCTTTTTAGAAACTGGGATTTCCCAGCTGGTATTGAATGCAGCATTGCTAAAGCACAGGGCAAGTGGCAAAAACTAGGAACATTTCTGCTCAAAAGTATCGTTAGTTGCTCAGAAAAGTGTTTCAGAACAATCTTGATGATTATATTTTGATAATTTAATTCAAGGGATCCATAGATAAGGTTTATTTCTCATATTTTTGATCAAATCCAATATTCTGAGAAAAAAAAATTCAACGTATTATAGCCGTCTAAATCTCACTACACGACCTTGAGCTCTAATCCTTGGTTCGACGTGACGGGTCCCACATTTAAGACAACCACTAACAGTTATCTACAACAGGTAAGATATTCATCGTTCATAACTTTTCAACAGAACCAAACGGATATGAACTGTATCTTAAAATAAACACATGAAACAGGACTGGGCAGCATCAGGAAAACAATGTACGGTTACTGATATTGTCGAGTCTCACGATGACGATGTCAGCTTGGCGTGTTTCCCAACACAACCTGCTTTTTGTGGTGAGTTTTCCAACGCGCCCAGATTCAAAACACCTGCACACAAAACAACAAATAAGTAAACGAGTAAATAAATAAATAAACTGAAGCCAGTTCTGCCTTTTGCACAATCTTGTTCCTGGTTGCTAAGTGCATCTGACTGATTCTTCTCACCGTTGGGCGCCATGGTAACCCCATCCTCAGATTGACTGCGCTACAGATAGATACTGTCACTACTGGTTTTCGTCCATCTCTCTCCCTATTTCTCTCTCGCCTGCTAAAATAGAAACGTGGCTATGATTCAGTGCAGCCACCTCGCTGCTGGAAAATGTGGAAGTGCAACAAGTTAACACGCCTCCACTTTCCCACTCTTTTAAAGGGACTTTTGAAAAGTTTTTACATTTGCATTCAGGTGGCCAAGTTCTCCTCCGCGTTCCAAAAAAATTCTACTCATGAACGAACCCCACATTTCAAACAATTGCATTCAGCTCAGGAACATATTGTTAATGTTAAACCCTTGTTTTAGTTTGCGTTCGACTGATGCCCTCTGGTGTTGCGAGAGAACGAACTACGTGATGCAAATATGAAATGCAGATAAGATGAAGCTCAATGGCTTTGAAGGATTCAAAAAAAGGGAATGTTAATTTTTACTCGTACACCAGTGCAGACAAAAAAAAGTACAATAGAACCTGGAGGTGTCTCATTTCTTCTGCTGTAAAAACTAATAGGCCCTGATGTCCGTTACAGTACGTCGAGACACAGGAGAATGTTTCCAGGTTCTTCATTCAGTGTCTGAACTTGGCCTGTCAGGCATAAATCATAACTGATTAAGCTGTTGGGATAAAAACTACGGAGAGCCATTTCATTCAAAATTAAATAAATAGTTTTTTTTTTTTTTTTTAATAAATAGTGTTATTTAAAATTTATTAACATATATTCCATTAAATAAATAAATGTTCCCATGAAAAAAAAAAAAAACATTTAAATAGAAAATGTTTACCGGTAGTTTTTTCCAGAGATTTTTTTTTTATTTATTTCAAGATTTATTTATTTAATAATGGCGTTTCATTTTGTGACACTTTTATTTTGTAAAGCTACTTTACATATTTCAGGGGCTT